GTGGCTTGTGCCTGTAGTCCCAGCTACTTGGGAACAAGAGGCGAGAAGATTGCTTGAGCCCAGGAGGTTGAAGCTGCAGTGAGCTCTGATCCCCCCACTGCATTCCAGCCTGGGTGGCAGAACAAGAGCCCATCTGAAAAAAAAAAGTTGTTACATCATAGTCAGTGACTTTTAAACTTAATTCTTAATTTTCTATATTGCTAATGTGGGTAAATTACAAATATGTAAAAATTCCTCACACATATTAAGGAACCTTACTAATTTTCAGGAAAAACAGGAAATGCAAGTGACTATTATAGAACAATGAAAACACTAGTCATGAATGAGCATTGCCTAAACACCAAGCAAGATTCTGTGTCTTTTACTTTCAAACTCTCAGTAGGTTTATAAGAGAAGATAATTGTTATCTCTAGTTTATAAAGGAGAAAACAGGGTAAGAGAGCTTTAGGTAATTTTTACAAGCTATTTAATAGTGGCATTGACAGCCAAATTCATAAACTTTTTAATTATGTTTCAGATTGTCTCATTTATGTGAGTTTGCTGTGGAAATAAGTAAAGTTTATTTCATATAGTAAAATCGATCCTCCACCTTCCTTTTCAGTCAAAATCATGCATTAGAATTTCAGTAACAATGATTACAAGTATTTTAATGCCAACAAACATTTCCACTGTAGATGTCATAGCACTTTAGGTACCTTAATAATTGATGGCCTGTTTTCCTAATGTTAAAATTTTATAAGATTTTATTTTCCCAATTTCTCCTCCATGTGTGTCTGTAGTTCCTTTCCATGGCTTCTGATAATCGTACAGGAAACAACTCAAGGGCATCTGAAGTGCGGTATGTTGTAATGGTAAAGCGGGGACAAAATTTTGTGTGAGTTTGCTGTGGAAATAAGTAAGGTTTATTTTATATAGTAAAATAGATTCTCCACCTTCCTAATGTTATTTTCTCAATGTGAAAAAAGGCCACCAAAATGAAATGGGGTAGGATGGTGATGTTTTCAAATTTTATTTCAAAATTTACTTGTGATTGTTAGAAATAATTGAACAGACTCAAAATCTGAATTTACTTTAAATATATATATATATATGTGTGTGTGTGTGTGTGTTTATATTAATCAAAGGACAAACATACAAACTTTTCTTACATTTTAAAACACTGTTCTATATTGAATATGTTACCTCACTTAGGATAATTCTACCTGATATCAATTTTCAGTGGTTGAAGTTTTTAAAATTAATAAACTGGCCGCGTATTGTGGCTCGCATGTGTAATCCTAGCACTTTGGGAGGCTGAGGCAGACAGATCACGTAAGCTCAGGAGTTTAAGACCAGCCTGAGCAACATGGCAAAGCCCTGTCACAAAAGTTACGCTACTCGGGAGGCGGAGGTGGGAGGATCACCTGATCCCGGGGAGGTTGTCTGCAATGAACCAAGATCGTGCCACAGCACTCCAGCCTGGACGACAGAGTGAGACCTCATCTCAAAAAACATAAAAATAAAAAAGGTTATAAGGAGGTATTATGATTTAGTAGAAGTTACTTACAGTCTTTTTTCTTAAATTTAAATTAATATCTTGGACTGGAAAGACACTTAGAATGACAGTGGTTACTTTTAGGGAGAAAATATAAGTTACTTCCACATCGTTTGTTTTATTATTTTATATCTTAATGAATAATAACATCTGATATTTATTCTTTATTCCATATTTTTTTATCTTTAAATTTCTCCCCCAAAAGAAAACCACGTACATATATCAGGAAACAGGTCTTTCATTTTCCCTGATTAAGTGATAATCTACGATTTTTCTTATGAAATACTTAGAGGCTAGAATGTTACTGGAAAAATACAGAATGCTGCTATGTGTGTTTACACTTAATATTTTTAAACTAATTTTATTATCTTATGTTTCTGTGGCTATTCTTCACGTAAAATTGCTTATAAACACGAATATTTGATCATGGTCAGATTTGCACCATTACAGAATTTAGATGATAATTGGATTTCTAACTAAAATAGTAGGGGCATCATGGCAAAGTAAAATACCAACAACAATTTTAAAAAAACCCACACAGAAATAGAATGATACATTTTTTCCCTGCAGCTTATTAAATCTGTGCTCAAGAACGGTCAAGAGACTTAACCTCTCTGAGCACCCAGTTCCTCATCTTTAAAATAGATATAATAATACTTTCTTAACAGAACCATATTGAGGATTAGAAGGAAAAAAAAAAAGAGAAGATGAGAGAGCACTTAACACAGGGCTAGCCACATGATAAATACTAATTTACTACATGGATTTATTTTGAAACTGTCTTAAAAAATAGTATGTAGTGCTAACCACTAATTATTTGGTAATATACAACAGAATACTCATAAGGCAAGATTTTGGAAGGATTCAATTGTGGCTTCTTAATTATACATTATATCCTAATTATCTATATGTATTGTATGTCTGATTACTAGTCAGTTAGAAAAAAGACAGAATATTCCCTTCCTTCAAACTGTGCCAGCCTTAAAAACAATAGAAATTACTTATAACAGATGGGAGAGAATGGAAATGAATGAGGAAAAATTATCATCACTTGTTTAAATTATACTTAATTATTGAAGGGGTGATTTTTAAAAAAATCATCCTCATCTTACATTTTAGTAGCCTTTAATAGAAGTCTGACAGATTTCTATTAAAGTAGAGAAATTGCTGAATTTCACTACTTACAGAAAATTGTAATATATAAGACAGAAATGTGATATATGGTTTTAATTTATTCTAGTACTTACAGTCTTCACAAAACAAATATCCACAAGTTGACTGATTTGATTGTAACTAAATCTAAATAAATGATTTATGAAGAGAACAAAATTGAATACATTAGAATACCATGAGGCAAATGATATCCAAGGGACATAATTGATAAACAGAAAAAATTTACATCTGACAGCCAGCATCCATTTCCAGATATCCCTAGAGCGGGCATGGAACTTGCTATGTCGTATGGACTAGATCACTGATTTTAGCATATAGATTTTTGAAACTTGAGCAAAAGTTTATTCTGGCCTTATAGGTTCAAAATGATAGAACCACCACAATGACTTTATTTTTCTAGCATAAACATATTATCACCTTCTATTTGTTTAGCAAATACTTGGAAGAGTTACCCTTTGTCCTCCCAACTCCCATAGCAAGCCTCTGCTAAGTGAAGAGAAAAAAAGTAAGCTCTCATTAACTGAGTCACCTATTTATAGACATTATATGACATATTTTACATTTCTGTGTATGTTATTTCATGCTCACAGCAATATTGTAAGACAGGTGTTGACAGTGCTTTGCAGAAGAAAAAAAGTGATACTCAGTTACATATATTTTTCTTTTTATCTGTTTAAATATACTTTACGTTCGGGGATACATGTGCAGAATGCGCAGGTTTGTTATGTAGGTATACATGTGCCATGGTGGTTTGCTGCATCCATTACCCAGTCATCTACATTAGATATTTCTCCTAATGCTATACCTTCCCTAAGCCCCACCCCCTGTTATCCCCCCCAGCCCCCACCCCCCAACAGACCCTGGTGTGTGATGTTCCCCTCCCTGTGTCTATGCATTCTCATCATTCAACAGCCACTTATGAGTGAGAACATGTGGTGTTTGTGTTCTTGTGTAAGTTTGCTGAGAATGATGGTTTCCTGCTTTATCTATGTCCCTGCAAAGGACATAAACTCATTTGTTTTTTATGGCTGCATAGTATTCTATGGTGTATATGTGCCATATTTTTTCTGTCTGGTCTATCATTGATGGGCATTTGGGTTGGTTCCAAGTCTTTGCTATTGTGAACAGTGTCATAATAAACATACGTGTGCATGTTTCTTTATAATAGAATGATTTATAATCCTTTGGGTATATGCCCAGTAATGGAATTACTCGGTCAAATGGTATTTCTGGTTCTACATCCTTGAGGAATCGCCACACTGTCTTCCACAATACTTGAACTAATTTACCCTCACACCAACAGTGTAAAAGTGTTCCTATTTCTCCATATCCTCTCTAGCATCTGTTGTCTCCTGATTTTTTAATGATCGCCATTCTTACTGGCATGAGATGGTATCTCAATATGGTTTTGATTTGCATTTCTTTAATGACCAGTGATGATGAACTTTTTTTTCATATGTTTATTTGCTGCATAAATGTCTTCTTTTGAAAAATGTCTGTTCATATCCTTTGCCCACTTTTTGATGGGGTTGTTTTGTTTTGCTTTTTTTTTTCTTGTAAATTTGTTTTACTTTTTTGTAGATTCTAGATATTAGCCCTTTTTCAGATGGGTAGATTGCAAAAATTTTTTCCCATTCTGTCAATTGCTGATTTACTCTAATGATAGTTTCTTTTGCTGTGCAGAAGCTCTTTAGTGTAATTAGATTCCATTTGTCTATTTTGGCTTATGTTGCCATTGCTTTCGGTGTTTTAGTCATGAAGTCCTTGCCCCTGCCTATGTCCTGAATGGAATTGCCTAGGTTTTTTTTCTAGGGTTTTTATGGTGTTTGGTCTTATGTTTAAATCCTCAATCCATCTGGAGTTAATTTTTGTATTTACACAGTATTGAAGTTTAGATTCAACATCAGATTTGTTTCATTTATGACACTGCTTATTAAATGATGAAAAATTGTTATATAATTTTTTCATTTATTTCCTTATAGGGTCACATATGTTCTGAAATTATTCTATGCAACTTTTGCTTTTGGTTTGTGGTTAATATTTACATAATGATGCATTATGATTCAAACATGAATAGTATCAGCACCCTGTGTTTTTTGTCAAAAGAAAGTATATGTATCAAAACTAATAACTTATAGTGCAACTTTTAATCTATTCAGTTTATTATTCAGTCTTCAGATAAACAGTACAAAACCTAGACAAGAAAGAGAAATGAATTATTTAGGTCAAACTGGCTTTATATGTGCTTCCACTATGCATAATTTATCAAGAATTTTCTCTTTTCTTTTTGTAGGGATGACTTGTCAAGCTCGAACATCATATACTGAAGATGAAGTTCTTTGGGGTCATCGTTTTTTTCCTGTAATTTCCTTAGAAGAGGGATTCTTTAAAGTTGATTACTCTCAGTTCCATGCAACATTTGAAGTCCCCACCCCACCTTACAGTGTGAAAGAGCAGGAGGAAATGCTTCTCATGTCGTCCCCTTTAATAGCACCAGCCATAACTAATAGCAAAGAAAGACATAATTCTGTGGAATGCTTAGATGGACTAGATGACATTACTACAAAACTACCATCTAAGCTGCAGAAAATTACTGGAAGAGAAGACTTTCCCAAAAAACTCTTGAGGATGAGTTCTACAACTTCAGAAAAAGCCTACAGCTTGGGAGACTTGCCCATGAAACTTCAACGAATAAGTTCAGTTCCAGGCAACTCAGAAGAAAAACTGGTATCTAAAACCACCAAGATGTTATCAGATCCCATGAGCCAGTCTGTGGCTGATTTGCCACCAAAGCTTCAAAAGATGGCTGGAGGAGCAGCTAGGATGGAAGGGAATCTTCCAGCCAAATTAAGAAAAATGAACTCTGATCGCTTCACATAACAAAGCACTCCCTTAGGAATTATTTAATGTTTGATTTAGTAATAATCCAATATTTGGCAATGAGGTAATTCTCCCTAAGGAATCTGAAAGTATATTTTCCTCCCAGTTCTACAAGCATATTTGAGAACCCTTCCTTTCACAAGTACTGCTAATGTGCAGAAAGCCACAGTTACGAAGGGAGGACATAATAAGGAAGTTATTTATGGGCATGTATTATCACATCAAGCATGCAATAATGTGCAAATTTTGCATTTAGTTTTATGGCATGATTTATATATGGCATATTTATATTGTATATTCTGAAAAAAATATATATATATATTTAAAGGGGAGATACTCTCCCCAACATTTCTAACATATGTATTAAGCCAAACATGAGTGAATAGCTTTCAGGGCGATAAAACTAAATATATGTCTGTGTGTGTGTGTATGTATACACACATATACATATAATATATATATATATATATACATACACATACATACATACATATATATCTGATAAAATTGTGATGTTTTGTTCAAAGTTGTAGTTCTTGTGCATGTTTACTTTATTAGAGTAGGAAGGCTACTGGCATTAATTATTAATACCAAATATTTTAGCCTTAAATTTTTGTCATTTTAAAATCTGATTTAATGTTTTCTGCTGTTTAAGGTCCTGGGAGGCTTTCAATTGTATTTTATATGAGAGAATCACACAAGTTTGTGCTATTTATGGCCCTGCAAAAATATTATCATTACATGTTTAAATTGTAAATTTTAGAGCATACCAGTACTAGTATAGCATTGAACATTTCTTATGATTTTTAAAAGTTGCTAGTACTGGGGAGAAATAATTGTTGATTAATTTGAGAATTATTCCTTTCCTAGACTAATTAAAATCTGGAAATCTGTTTTGTATAAGATCTAATACAAAGATGAGCTCTGAACAAATGCTGAATCATTGTGAATAGACAGTAGCCAAGTTATATTGAGTATATCAGAATCTGTGTGAAGTTACACAATTAATGGTCCCTGTTTCAAACTAAGTCAATTGGAAATATTTTCATTCTTTTTTCTGGAAATTACCTTCATTTAAAAAAACAATTATTTTAAGAAGACATGACAATGCAATGAAACAGATGATAAATATTTATGCTTAAAATATGTATGTCTAATTGAGTCTCCTTTTTATTCTGTTTTCTTGTTTATGACATTTGTTGTAACAGGATAGACTTTTTCCTCACCTAGGGAACCTATCCCATGCCTGTCACTTATCATTCTGGAGGGAGTTTATGCATGGACCTGAAAGAAATTAAAATTAGATAAATTGAAGATATCTTAGACACAGTTTTTTGGTGAACACACTGATTTTATTGGTGTCTTGGATCCCTGGTCTACCCAAATAATTTTAACAGTACCGTTTGTCTAATCCCAAAGTCTGATATTTATGACTCATTAGCAGGAATCAAAACTAGTGATCAGTAGAACACTTTCAAAATAAAAATTTGGAATGCAGAGACTTTTATGAAAATTTTAAAGTGCTCCTTAACAGAATATCATGGGTTTTCCTATGAAACTTCTTTAAGTATTGTAATTTAAGTCTGCCCCAAATTAAAAAAAAATCTCATTAATATGTAAGTCATTAATTGCTAGTTTGGGCTCTTATTATTTCCTATTTTTTAACAATCTTGTGATAATTTTATTATTGGCAAATTAATTCATCAACACTTCACTGACTATAATAACACCTTCTGGCTACCTCTGTATCAACCAAATTCTGTAGGTGCAAATATATACCAGGGAATTGTTACTGGCAAAATGATCAGTCTTGGGTGTGCATCCACTGCGAATGGAGCAAACTGCCCTATGACAATTGATAACCAAGCTTTCTGATTTGGTGGATGTAGGAAACAAAATAGTGAGATAATGAAAGGGGTCCACAGGGCACGGTGTATTTATCAGCAGTGGGAAAAAGTGCACGGATCATTTAGTCCAAGGACTTAAAACTAAATAGAGCCATAATTTACTTCGGAGAGTCATTTTAATTTGTCTTTGGTCCCAAGGAGAAGATGGAACCAAAAACAAACTCTCCAAGTATATTCACACATTCAAAAAATTTTTTGTATGCCTTCTGTATTGTAGGCATTTTTAGTTCCTGGGGATTTGGACATAAGTCAGAGGAGGTCATTGCTCACCATGAACACTGTATACCAAAGGAGAGTGAGGAGGAGACAAAAACAAGACCACTTCAGACAGTCAAAATATCAGTTAAGAGAAGGAAAACAGGCCCGGCCTTGTGGCTCATGCTTGTAATCCCAGTACTCTGGGAGACTGAGGTGGGTGGATCCCTGAGGTCAAGAATTTGGGACCAGCCTGAACAACATGGTGAATCCTTGTTTTTACTACAAATACAAAAATCGCTGGGTTTGATAGCAGGTGCTTAGAACCCCAGCTATTGGAGAAGCTGAGGCAGGAGAATCTCTTGAACCTGGGAAGCGGAGGTGGCAGTGAGCTGAGATTGCACCACTGCACTCAGCCTGGGTGATAGAGCGAGACTCCATCACAATATCTAAAAAAAGAATGAAAACAGGGTAACGTAATGCAAAGTGACTGTGTGGAGTAAGAACTGATTAATTTAGAAAATGTGACTGGCTCAGGATGGGGATAATATGTGAACAGAACTCTATCTGATCGGTGAGAAAGAACTACTGTTGTTGAAATTACCTTATTTGAGTGAATGCTATTCTTTTATCTTTTCCACACGTGTGTGGGAAAGGTATAATTTCTGCATGTAATTGCAGTTTAACTTTTATTTCTAGGTTGATGATAGGTCCCAGTTTACCCAGGAAAATTTCAGTTTATACCTGTTGTACCTGTGTAATTATTTGTAGCACTCCCTTTCACTCTTATAATAATGTCTTGGTTTGGATGATACATGGTGAAGTTTTTGTTGAAACTAAATTATGAAGTCTGATATATTTGGATAAAAATAAAGAATTGCTTTTCTTCTCATTTTGGTGACTTTTTGACACATCATTCTAAGCAAAATCATCTTAGCTTCCTATATTTCAGCCTGAAGTACTTCTTACCAAAGTTATTTCATGTAACATTTGTTCAATATGTTCGTGATATGTCTTTCAGCAATGAAAAGTTATGCATTTTACTGAATGAATAAAAACTTAGCCTCTGTTATTTCCATTTCTGAAAGTTGTAAGAGCTCACATCAAAGAAAGTAAAAGTCAATTTAAGCCTAGATAATTTTCAACTCACCAATGTTATGGCTATTAGAAAGGAAAACCTAATATGCTCATTGAACTGAATAATTCTACCTGTAAACAGGTGGAAACTAGACTTTATTTAATAGCATTTTCATGGTATAGGTCCTGTTATATTAAGATATTTCATTCTATTTATCAAAATGGTGTAAATAAAAGAAATACAATTATTTTGATAATGCTTATCTTCAACTTAAATATTTATTCTTTTCAGAAATATGTGAATACACTTGTAAATATATACAAAGTGAAAAATAAGGATATTTTATCATTAATTATTTCTGAAAGATTCTTCTTATGCTGTTTTAAATTTATCGATATATTGCTTAAAGTATTATGAAAAGAGGCTTTTTGTCTGGACAAAATGGGCTCATAATACAGTATTTCTATTGGAGGAAGACTGGGGTCATGGGAAAACTGGCTTACATTCTATTAGTTCTTACATTCTTCAGAATTTATGTTTGAATTACATTGTACATAAAGTCAGCATCAACCTAATTGCAATTTCTGGCATGCAATTTATAATTATTTAAGTGTACAAGGTCATTTAGGTTCAAAGATACAAACTCATGTATTCAATACTGCAAGTTCAATTTTATAAAAAATGATATTAAACTTTTGAAACATGATTGGCTTTAATTTTTACAGTGTGCTCATCCTTTTTGCATTCTCCACCACTTCATTATTCACATTTCTTGACTCGGTTTATCAAAATACTCTTAATTCCTGAAAGACAATCTTTAAATCCATCACAAGCCATTCCTTGATAATTCCTTTTATTTGGGCTGCTTATTGATAAGATGCTTCAGCAATACTCAATGTCAACTCAGTAATGCAGATACTCAGGACCTACGTTGCTTGGAGGAAGCTTCATGGTTATCCTACCCCTTGCTGAACCAGTGTTTTAAACACTACAGTAAGTAAAGCAGACAAATGCATAGTTTTTCTAATTTTGTTTAAATATCCAATCATCTTTTAATAAAGCATTCAGTTGCTTCACTCGTGTATCATAGAAAAATGTGTTCTTAACCTTGGATCAGATAAGTTTTGTGATGTGTAATGCGCCCAACTCCCAGGCATCTCATAGAATTAATCTAGAAAAGCTAAGTTGCCACAGCTTCTGACCTAGTGGAGTTCCATGGGGATGGTCTTTCATCATTTAGTAGAATTTTTAGAGTTGTTCCTCAATATATCTTTTGTTGTTGTTGTTTACAATTTTCTTCCGGACTTTCTTGTTGCTTAAAAGTCTGTTATATGTCTGATTGCTGTGTTTCTGAGAGGAGAATATTTGCATATTCTCTTTGACTTAAATATTCTTCAGTTTAACTGTGATTTCTTTGCGATTTTAAAAATCTACTTGTAAAGCTTTCTTGAAATCATAGCTGTTTCAGAATATCCAGGACTGTTTCTGAGCAAGGGATGCCATAGAGAACAAATACAGTATGCCTACTATATCCCTAGTATCCTATTGTTTACTAAGGATAAAATCCATACTTCTATTTATCCTCTCCCATCTCTGAATGTGTCAATCACATGCATGGTGACTTGCACACATTATTTGAATATTCAAAACAACTCTGCATGGTAAAGATCATCCCTATTTTACAGTTGAAGAAATTTATTCTCAGTTAGGCTGTTTAGTAGGCTTTTTAATTAGATCCACAAACATGAGGTGTAGTTTCTGCTCCCTGGGAGTATAAAGACTAAAGAGAATCCCTTTTTTAAACAACTGCAAATTTGGATGCATGAGTATAAATATTCAATGACTGTGTGCAGTGGCTTCTAACCTAACAGAATGCCTTGTCCAACGGAGTTTGCATTTTTCCTTGCTGTGGTTTGGAGAAGTGGTGGATGGAAAATGACAGCAGTGTTAGGAGTAGCTGTGGTCAGAATTGTGTGTTGGCTGAAGGAAAAAAAAAAGTAGATAGAAAGCAAGGACAGATAAAAATGAAGAAAATGAGGAGGAAAGTAAATACTTGAAGTGTTACACATAGAAATACATAAGTGGCAAAGAGGTAAAAATGACAAAGACAAGCTAAAAAATTAAGAGTCCACTGGATACTGAAAAAAATATTTCAAATAAGCTTGCTTCAAACCCAGATACCTCAGATTCAGAGCTTTTTGGTTTTTTTTTGTTTTGTTTTTAAATGATACAGTAACGTTTTGTTGTATTTCCCTCATGTATTTATTAAACAAATAGTGTCCTAGAAATCGAAAATAGGCCAGGCATAGTGGCTCACCTATAATCTCAGCACTTTGGGAGGCCAAGGCAGGAGGATTACTTGAGCCCAGGGGTTTGAGACCAGCCTGGGCAACAGTCAGACCTCATCTCTACTAACAATAAGTTTAAAAAATTAGCTGGGCATAGTGGCATTTGCCTGTAGCCCCAGCTACTAGGGAAGCTGAGGTGGGAGGATCGCTTGAGTCCAGGAGTTTAAGGTTATAGTGAGTTCTGATCTATGCCAGTGCACTCCAGCCTTGGTGCAGAGCGAGACCTTGTCTCAAAAGAAAAGAAAGAATAAAAAGAAAAAGAAAGAAACCTAACACAGTCACTTTGTCTCTTCCAAATCCTATGCTATTCAATTTCTCTCCCTCATCGGAAGTCATCACTACCTGGAAATGTGTGTGTATAGTTCCCGTGCTAGTCTGTATATGTATACCGTATATACATAAATTTATATGTAATATGTATTATAATGATCTGATGTTTTATTTGAATATATTTCTATAAAAATTTTCTATAAATATGTGATATTTATATATACAATATATTTGTTATATAAATGTTTCTATAAAATATATGCTATATATGACATGTTCTGTATGTATTTAATATAAATATAAATATTCATACATACCCACCTACTGATAACTTTGCTTTTGTTTTTCCTGCCTTGCCTTGGATTTTAAAATTTTTTCTTTATTTTTATTTTTTAAAAAAACGTTTCATGTCTATTATTTTACTAACCCTCAAAATTTAAGCTTGCATACAGCACCTAATGATACAAAAGCTAATTAACATTTCCACCTTCCTTTCAAACAACACAAGCATCTAATACCATGTTAAATTCAGCCACATCTTCCCATTTTTTCTGCTATTTTTTCATAGTATTACACTTGTTTTTAATGTTTTAACAAAAAACTGTTGTTTTTATGTCAATGCATTTTCATAATTGACTATATGTTTACTGATTTCTTCATTCACCATAGCTTTTTGCATCTCACTCCTTCATTCTTCTTTCTCTTTTCTTTCTTAAGTACACATTTTAACAGTTATTTAGGCAAACATATGTGGTAAGAAACTTTCAGTTCTTGATCACTGAAATGTATTTTTTCTTTTTTTTTACTTTTTTTTCCTGGATGTTCTTGTTGATTAAAAGTATATTATATGTCTAATTGAGGTGTTTTCAGGAAGGAAGGTATTTTCATATTCTTCAGTTTCACTCTGATTTCATTATTCAGGAGCCAAGTAACAGATTTTTTTTTCCCATGGGATAACCTAGAGAAGATATCCATAATTGCATGATGCTTAGGTTTGAGGTTTCAGCTTCTTCCAGAATACCTGCTGCTCTTTCCATAGCCTTGTGCACAGATAAGCTTCCTTGTCACTGGGACTTAGGTGGAAAGTTTGATTCCTGATGAGGTTTTACAGAGCCCTAGACTTATTCAGGGGCTTCAGTTCATCTAATTCCCTTGAATTTACACACACACACACACACACATACACTCTCTCTCTGTCTCACACACGCATACATGGAAAAATCTCCTGAATTTTAAAGACATTGTTTCATGTGTGTGTGTGTATGAATTAGAAATTCATACAAATATACATATGCATGTGTGTGTGTGTATATATATATACACATACAAATTTACATGTGCATAAAAATATACAATGTGCATGTGTGTGTGTATACACACACACAAACACATATATTATAGAAAAATAAAGACTGATGAAGTTTTACAAGGCTTGTTACAATAAAAAGCACTCTCTACCTACTGTATCCTCACTCTCTCCCCAGAGACAAAAACTTTCAACCCTTTCAAATGACTCCATTGTTATTTACATGCAAATTTCTAATCATTCTTTTATGGCTTCCCTTGATTTTCTATTTTGAGGCATTATTTGTTTGCCTTCCACTGTAGTAAATGATTTAGCTCTATTTTAACCCTTGCTACCCACTATACATCTACAATATTCACTCTAGTATAGTTAAATTTCCAACAGTTATATTTTAATGGTTTAATTATCAATGTTCTTATTAATTGAGCCCCATGTATTTTGGGCATTTTTCTCACCCTTTGCAGCTTCCTCCTCCTAGAGTTGATAACTGTCTTCTTTGTTCATTTATCTACATATCACGAATATAGCCATAGAGACTTTCCCAACTATATAATGCTTTCCTGTTAATGTTTCAGACTCATTAGATAGTCTAACAATTTGATCTTCTTGAAGAACAGTCCACCAAGTGTTTGGACCTGCTCTATGAAGGAAAGTTCTTTATGGCTTCTGTACAGGTGTCTTGGGATCTTCTTTTGTCATTGTACTGGAGAGTCCATTCACCTTGTTCTCGGTGTAGAAACCCTATTTCATTGAGAAAGCTTTCTTCTTCCTGTTTTTACCCTTTGTTCTGTTTTGATAAAATTAGTTTTGATAAAACACATTTTCCAAGAGTTTCTGAGAAAGAAATAGTGATAAACTTTTAGAGACCTCGCACATATTTAAATAAACCTTTATCTTATAATTAATTGTTTGGCCTCTTGTAGAAATAAATTTTTCTTCTGAGTTTCAGTGACATTGTTCTCTTTTTTCTAGTTTCTGGTGTTGTTATTGAAATGTCTGATACTGTATTGAACTTTAATCTTTTATATGAAACTAATTTTTCTCCTTAAAGCTCTTGAGACCTTTTAGTCTTCTCCAGTGTTCTAAAATTTTCACATGATCTACATAGGTATGGGTCCACTTATTCCCTTTTGCTGGGCCTTTGCAATATGTATGCTCATGCTCGTCTTCATTTTCCTCTCTTTGTTCTTTCTGGAATTTTTATTATTTGGATGTTGGATCGCTTAGACTGTTACTCTAACACTTTCATGTTTTCTATTTTATCTTTTTGCATTTCTTTTTCTACTTCATTGGGAACTTTCTTGACTTTATTCTTTATGATTTTTATTTCTGTCCATTTATTTCACTTTAGATCATTGATCTTCCAGATTTTCATTTCTGCTATATTAGCTTTAATTTTCAAGTACTTTCCCCTGTTCGATAAATGTTTCCTTTTCCACGAGTCCTTTTGTTGTTTCATGAATACATAATTTTAGCTCCCAAATTATTAACGATACCATGTTTTAAATGTTTTTCCTCTCTTCATTGTATCTATTTCTAATTTCTTTTTATATGTTTGATTTGGGATCTATATTCAATATTAGATTTTTTTCTCATATACCTGGTGATTCTTAGGTCTTTTCTCATACTAAAAAAAAAACGGAGCAATTACAATGATCAATGAAGTTATTGGCAAATGTATAGGGTAAATTAAACTGGCCTTCACTGGTGTGTGATGTGGTTGAGATATTTACCTGAATTTAGTATATCCTTCAAACTGTTAAGGTCAGTAATTGTGCCCAGCTAAGACTCTTTTAAT